CAGTCTGGTTCCAAGATGTGGGTCGCGAGGTACTCAAGCACGTTTCGCTTGAGACATCCTCGGAACCCTTGGCTCTGACCTGTTGGCCTGAGACGTCCTCGCAAGTCTGGGTTGAAGATGCGGTTCGCGAGGTGCTCGGGCCCGTTTCGCTTGAGACATCTTCGGAACCCCGGGCTCCGAGGTGCCTTGACTTGAGGTTCTCTGGCCCGCTGGGCTTGAGACATCCTCGCAACTCACACCTCTGCGTTCCAAGATGCGGCTCGCGAGGTGCTCTGGCCCGTTTCGCCCGAGACAACCCTGGGTTCCAAGATGTGGTTCGCGAGGTGCTCGGGCCCGTTTCGCTCGAGACATCCTTGGAACCCCAGGCATCCGCAAGATGCCCTGAATTTGAAGTGCTCTGGCCCGTTTCGCTTGGGACGTTGTCGCGTTCCAAGACGTGGTTCGCGATTGCTCAGGCCCGTTTCACCTCAAACATTCTTGGAATCTCTGGCTCCGAGATGCCCTGACTTGAGGTGACCCGTGTGTAAATGCGCCACAGTTGAAGGCGACATTGACGGAGTGGTTTTTGGAGTTGCCCCTAGTGCCGGGGGAAGTTGAGGACCAATAGAAAGTGACAGAACAAACGAAAATTTGCCACACATGTATGTATGTATGTATGTATGTATGTATGTATGTATGTATGTATATATATATGTATATATGTATTCATAGGCCGATTGGGTGATGTGTGCATCGGCCGCGACCCAAGCAGCATCCACCTGCAGCCCATTGCTTTCAACACCGCTCCACTCACGGATCGCGGTCGTTCAGTTTCAGCCACTATGTTCGTGGACGGTGATCGGCACAGGAGTCTCCAGTCAGCTTCGGGAGGAGTCCCCGCAGCATCGCGCGAGCCCGGAGGTTCTGAGAGGGTCGGTGGACTCCGCCCGAAGGTCGCCACGAAGAGAAAGGATCTTTTGGGGGAATGGAGTTCTGGAGGCTATTCGCCTGATTCGGGCTCCCAGGGCCCTCCCTGGGCCACGGGCCTGTCGAGAGACTACTCAGGATCAGAAGTTTGTCCTGGCGGGACGTCTCAGGACCCAGGACGTTTCACCAGGACCCTCTTCCCTCGTGCCAGGATGGCCGGAGGAAGCCCAAGGTTCCCGAGGTGACTCCCAGGGAAGACCGTCCTGCATGCGTTTCGGGGGTAACTCCCGCGTTCGTGCTCGTCCCTTCTGGCACTCGCGCAGGCTCGATCTGTGTGTTCGCACAGTTTGTGACTGAATTGGTTTTCAGTCATCCTCGAAACGCACAGTGGCTCACAAAAACGCATTGACAGCAATTGCTAGCGTTCGCCTACCATGCGATGCCGCATCATTCCTTATATGGTTGCGTGTGGAAATAAATTGCCACGCGTGGTCGCCCTAGTTTTGGTTCAAACCGACTTGGCTGAACAGTCCTGACCCTTGAGCCTCCTCCCTCGAAGCTCACTGGAGCCATGTCTATCGGCGGCACCCTCAAAAGCTTCTTCTGAGAAGAGGGCTTCGGTTGTATCAGCACAGAGGACGGCGGTGACGATGAATTCGCGCATGTGAAGGAGAACCCCGCTCAGCGGGACTGCCAGCAGGGCGACTCCGTGACCTGCGACGCGGAGCACGACGACCGCAAGGGCGAGTACAAGGCGGTGAACGTGAACGGCGGGGCAAGGGCATGGGGAAGGGCAAGGGCGGCACGGGCGGCGACTCGTACCGGCGGCGGCGGTCGGCGAGCGGCTGGCAGGCAGGCGCGCGCGAGCCCGAGCGCGAGCGCCGTGCTCGGGCGCCTTCCTCCGTTAGTCTTGTGCTCGGCCCCAGCGCGGCGCGCACGGGCTGCGGCGCTCCGGCGCACAGTGGTCCAAGCGATCCGAGCGAGGGCGAGTCCGAGCGCGGGTGAGAATCACGCGCGTGCGTTGCAGGCAGCACGTTTGTTGACCCGCCGCCCATTGATCCACACATGATGGCGCGTGTGTGGAGCAATGGATGCAGTTGCGCAGTATGGATAGTCGAACACTTCAGATCTCATGGCAGCACCAGGGGAGCATTCAGGGGCGAGTGGTGCAGGGCATGAGGTGGACATCATCATTGATTGTGCCAGGCTGCCGCGCCCCAGCTCGTGCAGCTGAAGAGGACTCATGACTTCGAGCACACATACTATCACCAATGTCGACACAAGCCACCGAGACCCCGAGAGCAGCACACAAGAAGGGAGGAGCGCAGTCAGAAGAAAGCGCTCGATTCAACAGATGCAGGCTCTCTTGGCAGACACTCATCTGGGGGGCCCATGCAGCAGATGCAAGGCAAATCCCGGAATACAATAGTCGACGGGCAAATGCAGCAAGCATGCAGAGTATTAAATAGGCTTGCCACAGGGTGCCCCACGAGAATGTCCTGTCCCACGGTGACCTGGATACCCTTGTGGCACCTCGCGGAACTCAAGGTCTACGAAGGATGTGTCTCCAACGTCTTTATGGCAAGATGCAGTCTTGTATGTGTCTACTGCGCGCTGAGGAGGCGGCAGGCGGCTGTCATCGCCGTCTGTTTGCTTCCGTCCGCCACGGCTCTCGCCAACCCCCCAGGGCCGCCCAACCCCCGCCAACGCACCCACCAACGCTTCGGCCAACGCCCCGCCACCAGCATGTGCAAAACACACACACACACACACACACACTCGCACACACACACACACACACACACACACACACACACGTGGGAGGATCCCCGCTCGCCGATGCGTGGATATTTGTTCCACGCGTCGAACCCAGACATGCGATGTCCTGATTTTTTCGGGACGGCGTCCCTGGAAGTCCCGACCCTTTCCCCCGGACCGGTTTTTCGCCTTGAGCCGTTTTTTGACGGTCCCGAGGCCAGGCGAGGGTCCCCCGAGGCCGAAAACGGCGAAAAACCTCCCGTCCTGATTTTTGTTGCGACGCGAGCATGTTTGGGAATTCCCCCCCCCCGGCTCCCAGACAACCACGTCCCCCCCGCCAGCGCCCCGCCAACACGGCGGGCGGCCACCGACGCGTGTAACAAAACACAACATGTCGGTGGCAGGGGGCGGTGGCTGGGCGCTCGCGGGGGGCGCTGTGGCGGAAGATCCGAGGTGTCGTCGGGGTGGGAGGAGGGGGAGGAGGAGGAGGAGGAGGAGGAGGAGGAGGAGGAGGAGGAGGAGGAGGAGGAGGAGGAGGAGGGGGAGAAGAAGGAGGAGGAGGAGGAGGAGGAGGAGGAGGAGGAGGGAGGTGGAGGAGGGGAGGAGGAGGAGGAGGAGGAGGAGGGGGGAGGAGGGGGAGGAGGAGGAGGAGGAGGGGGAGGAGGAGGAGGAGGAGGAGGAGGAGGAGGAGGAGGAGGAGGGAGGGAATGTCTTCGGAGAGTCTCGGGGGCGTCGGGAGAGGCGTCGTCGGGGCGTTCGCGAGGGGGGGGGGCCGGAGGAGTTGGCGGTGAGGGCCCCAGGGGCTGCAGTGGCGAAGGCGCCCTCCCAGGGGTGCTGGCATTTGTATGGGGCGCTGGTGGGGGTTCTTCGGGGCGCTGGCGGAGCCCTCCTTGGGGCCCCGCGGGACGCTGGCGGCGCCCGAGGCCAACATTGCAGATGTCAGCACTGTTGCCAATCATCGTCGCAAGTGGACGTCATTCTCCACCTCTCGCTCAGAGTCCAGCGTGATTGGTTTCACTGTCGCTGTCCGTCGGGCTCACCAAAAGCCGCCTCTGGCTGCCATTCGCCTAGAGGTCAGCGTGTTGGTGTCCAGCCTCTTTGTCGGCCGTCGACACTGAGATCAATTGGCTGCCTCTCCCTGAGACGCAAGTGTTCTAGACTTCGGTCTCATCTTTCGTCGGCGTCACCACTGGCCGCCGCAAGCCACCACGCAATCGAAGGTTGGTGTTGCAGTATTCAGCCTCCTTGTTGGTGATCGTCGCCCACTGGCATCCACCAAAGAGGGCTGACAGGCTGACAGCTTCTTATTTATGGATTTCGATATCATGCCTTGTGCTCGACCTTTCATCATTGTCTCTGGTCGTCGCCGCCACAAGCGGCCACGCAGTCATAGGTTGATGTTCCAGCTTTCAGCCTCCTTGTCGGTCGTCCTCACCGCCAGCTGGCATCCACCTGAGAGGGCTTACACTGAGGGCTTCTTGCTTCGGGGTTTCGGAAATTGGCCTTGTGCTCCAACTTTTTACTGCTCTCTTCATCGCCGCTATTGAACCAATCGCTCAGAATCCCATGTTCTGGCCTTTAACGTCCTTGTCTGCCGTCTTCGCCACTGGATCCATCCAGTGTTTCGGCACTCCACCTCGATAGTGGTCGACGTTACCACTTACTGCAACCAGCGAGGGCTTGTACAGTGTCTGGCAATGTGCCTATCAACGAGTTGGACCCGTGTTCTGGTGTTTGGCATCGGTGTTAGTCGTCGTCGGCGCTCGACGCCACTAGCCGCGTATGCTCAGAGGCTAGCCCCCGCCATTTAGCTTCATAGCTTGTCTTCGCCACCAGCTGGCATTGGCTCAGACGCCAATGTCGCTTTCAATATCCTTGCCAGTCGTCGTTGCCATTGGTCGTCACTGACTCTCAGTCGCTCACAGGAGAGGGCTCCGCCGTCCAGTCTCACTGCCAGTCATCGTTGCCGTTGGCTGCCAACAAACAGTGTTTGCTCTGAGAGTGCCTGACTTCCGGATCCGGGGTGAAGATAGCATTGCCGATGTATTCCAGCTGTTGGTTTTGCCGCCGGTCGATGTTGATACTTGTAGAAATCGCTGGTCACCAATTCCTCTCACTCCGACATGCTGTTCCTCGTGGCATGTTGCAGCCATCCTGGCGCTAAAACAATGAACAAATTTATTATAAATGATTACGTATGGTATGTTTTTCTGTGGGTCTTGTTTCAATGGTCTTCGTGTCGAACACCAACGTTCGCACGGGCGTATCCCATGATCTGCATTGTTGCAGCGGCGGACTACAGTGAGTTTGAGGTTGGCGGCTACAAGCAAGTTACGATGATGGACAGCGGGAGCTGGGAATTGGTTCTGCCGGCGAGCGCGGGGCTGCAACCTCCCTCTCGGAGTTTCTCTTCATCATTCGTCTTGCTCGTCAAGCGCACTAGTGTCAAACACGATCTGCGTGTGCGCAGCTCTGCAAAGCCCGTGTGCTTCCAGACGTGGTGTGGCTGCATGGCGCCGGGTCAAGTGAGTGCGGACACATGTTTACGTTTTCTGAGTTGTTGTTGTTGGCGAGGCCGAGGCTCGAGGGGCCAGTCTATAGAATTACATGTGCATCGAGTTTGTATATGTATATATTCTGCATGAGCATGGGTGCCATTGTTGTCCAGTTCGCCGTCTCCGTACAGTCTTCCACTAGGTCCTATTTTCGAGGCCAGCGGCGCGCTGCGAGCCGTTGCCTGGGCTATCGGCCTCCGTGCGCAGAGATGTGTGGTGGGAGCGCCTTCTCGGGCACACTTCTGGCTGAGACTCGAGAGCGCGGCGTCCCTGGGGTGTGCCCGGGCCGACTCGTAGATTTTCGTGTGCAAGATATTGCCTACAACCCTCGTCAAAATTAACCTCAACAATGTCATACGTGGCTGAGTTATTTGTGGCGATGACTGCCAGGTACTTGCATGCGCCGCCCCTCCAATGTCGGTCATCATCGAACTTCCGAGTCGTTCCCAGTCAGACCACTTTTGCCCTGGCCCCGGCATTGGAGGGGCGTCTATCGACATCCAAGGGCGCGCCGACATCGCAGGGGCGTGTTCGCCATTTCTGAGGTTCATTTTGACGAGGGTGTAGGAGTGACTCCCCAGGGGGGGGCCCAGATCGGCTCGTCCAGCTTTGTCTGGGGGTCCGCTGGGCATTGCCTGGACCCCGCAGCCGCTTGTCCGTTGGGTGTTCATTCGTTTCTCCTTCCACACAGTCGAGAGCCATCCAAAGCCAAAGCAAATGTGCAGCCCTGTATCCTACCCTTGTACCCTTGCCTCTTCGGCCCAGTCGCGATCGATCCTGGAGTTGTTGCCCTGACTTCACTACAAGTGTTTCCATGTGAACGCCCGAGGTCTGGGCATCTTTAACTCGCATTATTGTGAATTCCGGCTTTATCGCACTGGCCTTTCGGCCTATCCTTCAGGGAGCGGCCTTCGGGTGGATAAAGTTGGTGACCTGGCTGCCCAGAGCGCCGTAATTAGATCTGGTGCTCAGCCGAGGCTGGCCGACTGTCTCGAGGAACCGTCGCAGAAGCAGGCCAGCCGGGTTCGGTCAGGGGCTCCCTGTAGCGAGACGTTGGCCTTGAAGGTGCAGGGTCCTGCCCTTCCTGGAGCTCTCGACCTTGGCATCCGACTTTACTTTGAGCGTGTTTTTGTTAACCCTCTTGTCCATAACGCACATTATGCCCCCCCTCTCCTCCCTCTCCCCCCCGCCAATGACGTAACGCTCCCCCTCCCCCCCGCAGTGCGCCTCCGGTGGTGCTTGCAGGCAACTCTAACGTTCACGGGCTAACGTGGTGCTGACAGGCTCGCTGCCCGTGCTCGCAGACATGGTGCTGCGCTCGCAGGCTATTGTCGCACAAGAAGGGTCTGGCAGTTTTTGCGCATGCGCGCAGGTTTCGCGCGGTATTATGGTGCTGGCAGAGCCGCGCGAGTTAAGGTAGTGGTATTGGTGGCAAGGAGGATAGAAGGAGGAGGAGGAAGAGGAGGAGGAGGGAGGGTGGAGGGCGACGGGGTGTCGTCGTAGTCGTTGTCGTGGCCGTCTTGTGGTCGTGGTCAACGGTGTTCTGATTGTCGTAACCGTCGTCGTCGCCGTCGTAAACGTCGTGGTAGTCATTTTCGATTTGGTCGTAGTAATAGTCGTCGTCGGCGTGTGGTTGTTGTAACCAAAGTCGTGACAGTCGTAGTCGTCGTAGTCTTCGTAATCGTCGCGGCCATCGACATAGTCGTCGTGATCCTCGCCAAGAGGCTCGCAAGTTACGGGGGGGCCGACACAACGGCAGTCGTGTTCTCACAGGTGTTCACCCCTATCGGGCGTGCTTGCAGGCACCACTGTGGCCCGCCGTCTCCTTCGGGCCCCTGGGGCGCCAAGGCCCCTCACAGGGCAATCTCAACACAGAGGTGGAATCTCAACGCAGGGGGTTTTGGTGCACGCACGCGCTGTGGTGCACGCAAGCCCTGCTGCGTGTGCAGGCGCTGGGTTGGCTCTCCCCCCGCCGGCGCCCCCCCCCGCCGCCGCTGGGACCTGCCCGAGCGGGCCCGGCTCTCTCCCCGCCTGCGCCGCGCTTCCTCCCCTGACCTTCCAGAGATCTATTTTTTAGCACGGGAGGCCTAAAAACCTAAAAAACGAAACGAAACTGCCTAAAACCACGACATAGAATAGCTCTGGGATAGGTTTTTAAGTCGCGTGCTATTTTTTAGCCCTCCTGGAAGGTCAGGGTCCCTTCCCCCCCCGCGCACCGCGGCCCAGCTTGCATTTTGTGCGCCCCACCAGTGCCACATCGCCAGAGCAGGAACCTCTGCCCAGCCGCCGACTCAAAAGTGCATGCGCTGGGTGAGCGCGGCTGCTGTGGTGCACGCAGGCGGTGTGGTGCACGCAAGCACTGCGGTGCACGCGTGCAGCATGCATCGGGACAGGCAGTGTGGTGCAGATGTTAGAGCATGTTCGTGTTATGCTCTGGCTGTGGAAGCGATAGGAGCAGAGTGGCCTTCTTGCTTGTGGAAAGTAAATGCAGCACAGCGGCAGCAACATCAGCATATAAGAATGCTCGACGGAGGATGTGGGGGAGAAACACTTCTGTGCACGATGGTGCAGGTACGCACTGCGCAGTACATAGGCGATGTGGTGCACGCGGCTTCGGCGGTGAATACTGTGCTGCTCATTGTGGTGGTTACTGTGATGCACGCAGGCGCTGTGGTGCTGGAGCCACACGGCGGGGGGGGGCGTTACGTTATGCCCCCCCCTCCCCTTTACGTCCGTTATGGCCGCGAATATGCAATGCGTTCGTTGCGATGTGGATTGCTATCTTGTCGGTCCTGGCGCGCGAACAGGGCCTCCGCCCAACCCAAAAAAGACAACCGCCTTGGTTTTCCCAGGACTCCAGATCGGAGGCCTGAGAGGCGACATCACGGCCCCACCATCAGAGGAGCCGCCTCCAGCGAAGGGGTCCACGATTCCTCCCCGTGCAGGGGATAGTGGATGTTTCAAGCTGTCGAGCGAGAGGGGGGACCACACCACCAGGAGAACCCTCCCCGGCGCTTCGCGCTGGTGATGGGGGTGCCGTCTTCTCCATGTTCCCACCTCATAGACCATCCTTCGGGTGATGAGGAGGCTTAGGGGGACGTCGTCTTTGACACGAACTGGGCGCACGATTCAGCTCACGAGTGCACAGGCGTCGGGACGTCAAGATGGATGTGCATCGACCCACGTATGTGTACAGATATTTGTGTATCTAGATATACATATGTATCCCGACGTCTTCGGACCACCCGTAAACAACAGGCATCGAAAAACGCGGCCGCGCGCGAGCTAAGCGCCAGGCGTCCTGCGACGGCCTCCCCGCCGCCGCGGAGGGCAGCAGCTGCTGCGGCAAGGCGACGTGCCCGTCGGCCTCGTACAAGCTGACGAGCCACAGGCCTTAGCTCTCGTGTTCTGCCCGCGGAGATTGACACACGTTCTGTTACGTCGGGCCTGTCCCTTTACAGGAGGGATGTTCAAAAATAGTATAAAAAGCCAGGGGACAATTTCTCACTATGTTTGAATATGTTTTGGGCATGTTCGGAATATGTTTTACTTTCCGTCCAAAATCGGCCTGTAGGGGGACATGCCCGACCTAAGCGTTCTGAAACAGATTGTCCCACCCTCCGCGGGGGGGAAGTGGCGGCCACGACCCCTTCCGGAGAAGCAGCGATCGGGAACGAGAGCCCCGGCCCACCCTTGCCGCCGATGGAGGGGGAGGAGGAAGAAGAGGCGGAGGAAAGAAGGGGGGGGGAAGCAGCCCGCTCCCACCCGCCGAACGGCTCACGGCCGCGCCTCCCGCAGCGCTGCCCTCGGAGATGGACGGGGTGCAGAGGCGTGCATCTTGGGAGGGCCGCGCGAGACTCCTGCGTCGGCGGCGGGCCCGTTCCCCCGCACCCCCCTGGCGGGGCCTCCCGCCCCGCCACCGTGGTGCCGGAAGCCGGTGCCGGAGCTCCTCCTCCTCCTCCTCCTCCCTCCTCCCTCCCCTCCCTCTCCTCCTGCTCCTCCCTCTCCTCCTCCTCCTCCTCCCTCCTCCCTCCTCCCTCCTCCTCCCTCCTCCCTCCTCCCTCCTCCTCCTCCCCTCTCCTCCCTCCTCCCTCTCTCCTCCTCCTCCTCCTCCTCCTCCTCCTCCTCCTCCTCCTCCTCCTCCTCCTCCCGCCCCACCCCCTGGTGCGTCAGTGCTCGGGGTGCAGAAAGCGCTGCACCCTTCGTGCTCATGCGGGGCCCTCGCCCCGCCATCTCGTCTCCACCCGCCGCGCAGCGCTCGAGAGACGCGCCCAGGAGAGGGGCGTGGGCAGGGGGGTCCAACTCCGACCCAGGAAATCCGCGCGGATCTCGGGAAGCTGAAGTTTTGGCAGGTCTGGGTGCTCTACGTATGTGCTCCCTCGCCTGCAGGCGTACTTGCGCCATCCAGGGTGTGCCGCCGATAGCGGGGCAGGAGGGCGCGAGCCCAGACAGCCTGGGGGAGCAACGGATGCGGAGGGGCATCAAGCAACTTCTGGGAGCCGTTCACCCTAACAGCACGCCACTACCGACACATAGTCCCCTCCAGCTATGCCTACCAGTCTCCGCCAGCTGTGGTGCCAAAATCCCGAGATGCCGATGAAGTCATTTGCGTGTTGCTGTTGTCCCTAAGTTTTCCCTGAGTCAGAAGACAAGCCCGGTCGTCTCTAAAGTACTGACCGAGGTTAGGCATTTAGTTACTCGAGATCTGCACCTGGTTTCGTAGGGAACACCAGGAATAACACCCAGCTGCAGTTTGCCCAGGCAATTTAGGGGCCTGCTCTCACGACGCGCATCGGGGTTGAGATACAGAGGTCCGGCGAGGTCCAGTGGCATCTTTGGCTGGAGGTGGGGGCGCCTTGGGATCCGTGCGCGCAGAGGGTGTCTGCTTGAAGGCGGCACGTCTCTGATGCCGTGGTCCACGCCACGCCCATTCTCATGTCCGCCCCACGTGGGGCCGAGGTGGTCGATCCCTGAATAGGGAAGCGAAGAATGACATAAACATGAAAACTCGGAGGTCCGCGCGGATTTCTCGGATCGGCGCTGGACCCCCCCTCCCTGGCGCGCCGAGCGCGCCAGGGGCGGCACCGGAGGCGCCGCCAGGGGGGTCCAGCGCGGCTCCGAGACATCCGCGCCGCGCGGACCTCCGAATTTCCGTGCCTATGCCCCCCTTCTTTGTCCCCAGCGTGCTGGCGCCTCCGCTCCGCTTCCGCCCGAGTCCGCCGGCGCTCCGCCGGGGGCCGCCGCCGCCGCCGCTTTGTCTCCGCCGCCCTGGCCTGCCGCCGTCCCCTTCGCGCCGAGGGCGAGGCGCGCTTCTCGCGCGGGCCCGGCCAGCGGCCGTGGCCCTCTCGGCTCGAGCAGCCCGGGTGCACCAGGCAGGGGGAGAGCCCTCGAGCGGGCCGCCCCCTTGCTCATCCCTGAGGGCTTGTCGACTTTTCGCCAATCGATTTGTGGGGATGGAGCCAGATACATCCAGGCAATTGCAGATACATCGAGGTAAATCCAGGTAAATCGAGATAACTCCTGGTAAATCCTAGTAAATCCAGAGATCTCCAGGGAAAATTGGAACAACTCGCGGCCGCTCCCGCGCGAGTCGAAGGACAGGAGAAGTCGTTAAGCCTTTAACGAACTCGGGCGATCGCAAGCGTGGATCAAGGGGGCGCGAGGCCATGTTCCGGGGAACGAAAACATGGCGTCAGCATAAAGACTCGGAGGTCCGCGTGGATCTCTTGGATCCGCGCTGGACCCCCCTCCGTGGCGCGCGGAGCGCGCCAGGGGCGGCGCCGGAGGCGACAGGGGGGTGAAGCGCGGATCCGAGAATTCCGCGCGGACCTCCGAGTTATTATGTTTTCATTATTGATTAGCGACGGGTCCCGCTTCTGTGGGGAATCGCGGATTTCCGCCGCCGAGCGAGGCGACACCGGCCGCATCTTGGGGACGGCACCTCCCCCGATCCATGGATTTGGCGACCGCGCGCCACATCCATGGATCGCTAATCCCTGTTTGCGCGCCCCCGACCCCCCCACGCGCGCGAGCCACCGGTGGGCCACGCCTGTCGGGGAAAACGCGAGAGGCAAGAGTGATCGGGTTGGGAGCATGGGGCTGGGGGAAGCGGCCAGATCAGCCGTGCTCCCCTGGGGTCCTGGCGTCGGAATTCTTGTCCCCACGGGCGTTCTCGCCCAGTTCGGCGCCCCGGGGCCCTCACAGATCGAACCGGCTCGAGAAGCGATACAGAAATGATGGGGTCCAGGGATCTGGTCGTGATTGTTTAGCGGTGTTGCATTTTCTTGAGACGTCGGACCTCAGGGTATCGCGCATGTCGAATGGGATTATTACACCGTCGTTCCCTGTATCTTTCCAACCTTGTCCTCCCAACACGAGATGTGTCTTTCTCGGCAGGGCTCGAGTTCGCCGGAGACCGGGTCTGCCGACTCTTCTTAACGGGCCCGTCTTGGATTTTGACGGTCCATTGTTCGTGGGATGTCTGCGGCGAGAGCTCGCGTCAGATTGCAGACTGGCTCTCGTCATTGTTCTCAGCCCCCTCAGGCCCTTCCCCACGAGGACCTTTCCCAAGAGAGCCCCAAGAGTAATCCGAGAGGGCCGCAGACACCCTCAAACCATCGCCCATGCCCCAAAAGGACGCACGTGGCCCACCCCTCTCTTCGCGTTCGGCCAGGGTTCGCCACCAGAGCAGACTGCCGCCCCCCGAACCCGAGCCTTGGAGTCAGCACTGACAGTGAGGATGAGCGGCCTGTCAGGGCTTCCCCTGCAGCCTTCCCCCTTTGGCCCCTCCTTGGCCACTTCCGTTGGCCGCGTCCTGCTCGTCAAGTGCCGGCATGGTCTTCCAAAGCCTTTCACGGCGGGCGCGTAAGTGGGGGGGCGATACAGTCGGGGCGCTGAAGAAGGAACCCTTTTTGTTGGCGAGGGGCTCGGTTTTCCTTGATTGTTTTACAGTTTGCCCTGCGTGTCCCTTAGGTTTTCCATGGGAAATCGAAGTTTAACTGATGGAAGAAGGGGCATCGTTCCTCATTTTGGGTTCCTTTGGGTCAGCGCCCCAACTGTATGTGGGGGGGCAGCGAGGGCTCCAGAAAAAGGGCTTTTTAGGGCCCCTGGAGGGGCCGTTCAGGGGATCCCGAAGGGGGCCTTCAGGGGGTACGAAACGGGCACCTGTCTCCCCCCAAAATCTACAGCGGATGGAAACAATGAACGCGAAACTGATTCGCAACGGTGGAATTTCGCCATTCAGAGCCTGCGGGTTCCACGCTGGGCACGATCGGCGACGCCGCCGAAAATGTAAAAGACAACGCGAAACCGCAAGTGCAGGCTTTTGAGCCCCACACTCTCATGGTCGGGACTGCCTCCGTTCTCTTTTTGAGCGGCGGCACTCCAACGTTAAATGCGTTGGTTTCGCGCCGATGTCTTACGTCCACGGTATCGCCCTCCATCCATTCGAGCCCAACCTCGCATCCGCACCCAGACATGCGACGTCTTGATTTTTTTAGGACGGCGTCACTGGAGTCCCGACCCTTTCCCTGGGACCAGTTTTTAGTCCTGAGTCCTTTTGTGATGGCCCCGAGGCCTGGCGAGGGCCCCCCGAGGCCGACAATAGCCAAAAACCTCCCGCCCCGATTTCTTTTACGACGCGGTCACGTCTGGGCACCGCGCACCCTTCCTGCAAGCTCTGGCCGTACCGTCTCCCCGAGAACGCTGGCAAGGCGGGCGCCCCCCAGCTCGACCGCATGTGGATGGGGCGGCGGCCCGCCACGTGGGCGTGGCCGCTCGGGCTGGCCGCCGCGGCCGGCGCCGGGGGCGCCCGCCGCGGGGCTGCTGCGGCGGCGTGCGCGGGCGGCTGCGGCGGGGAGGGCGGGGAGGCCGCATCCCTGCTGCAGGCCCCGCGGGTCAGTATCGCTTCACCGATCCCGACCCCCATCCCCATCCCGACCCCCACCGTCCCACCACCCACAGTTGGGGATATGCCCCTCGAAACTCGAACGGAACAGGCTATATCCCCATCTAGGGGGATAAATCGGCCCGTGCGGCCCAGGCCACGCCCGTGGGGATAGGCATCGGTTCAACGATGCTCACGGGAGGAGTCGACGGCGCGCGAGGGGCCCCTTCGCCGGAGTGGCTTCTTTTGGTGCGGGCCCGCCGGGGTCCTCCGACTGCGGTGCGGCAGCAGCAGCTTTGGTGCGCGCTCGCCCCCCCCCATGGGCGGGCCACCCTTGCCTGGGGTCGCCCTTGCTTAGGGTCACTCTTGCGTGTAGGCGAGGGAGGAAAATCCGCGGGGCAAGAAGTCATGACGATGCGCTCCAGGATCTCCCAGATCTTCCAGATCTTCGAATGTTCCTAACGGTGTGATGACACGAGGGCCGCCGGATACTCCGGAGCTCCTGGAACGTACCCATCGGTCGTTGAAAGTCGGTTTTTTGGGATTCCCAGATTCCAATCTACTTTCAGCGCCTTCCTACTTCAAGAGTCGAGCGGTTTTCCCTCTTCCTTTCTCTGCAGGAGACGGGCGGAAGCCCAATCTATTTCCAACGCCTTCCTACTTCATGTTTCTACCTACTTCTTCCGACCAGTGGGTATCCTGAGCCAAGCTCAAGCGCATCACGACGTCACTCTCGTCCCAGAACGCCTGCCGATGCAGCTGCACCCGCCCTGGAGGGCCCTCGGCGCCACGGCTGCAGTCGCCGCTACAGCCCGGTCGGTTTTTTTGTTTTTTCCTGCGGGTGGAGCCTACCCTTTGCCTCGTGTTCGCCTGTCTCGGCCTGCTGGGAGGCCCTCGCCGGCGCGGCTGGATTCGCATCGAAATCCTCGCCAGATCAAACCCAGGATCAAGTCGGGCCTGTCCCTCTGCAGGAGGAGTATCCAAAAATAGACCAGAATAGTCTGGGGACTATCTTTTCACTATTTTTTCGCACTTGGGGAGCATTCTTTGAATATGTTTTTAATTTTTCACGGACAGGCCCGACTTAAACCCAGGAGGGATCCAGTGGGAAGCGGGATCGGTGCCTTTCTGTTCCTTCGCCTCGCGTTCGCCTCGTTCAGTCTCTCGGGAAGGCCCCCGCCGCCACGGTTTTTTTGGGTTCGCGTCGACGTCTTCGTCAGAACGCACCGCGGCAGAGGGCCGGGGGAAGAGCGGAGTCTGCACCTCTCTGCTGGGATGGCCGTGGGGGGTTCTGAGCGGATACAGGCAAGTCACTGAAACACGGAACAGTTTGGGTAAGGAAGGGTCTCGATATTCCTTAGGTCCTTCGATGGCTTTTCCTCTAGCCTTCCTCGTGCACGCCCGCGCTTGTGGGGCCAAAAAGGGTATTCGTTCCTTGTTTCTCGTTCCTTCTTTCAGCAGCCCGACTGTAGGGGGGGTACAAGTGGATGCCCAGGTGGGTTATATCTGGCCCAACCTGGTTTATAAAATGGTCACAAGTGCCCCGAGTGGCTTAGGGGGGTTGGATAACTCCGCTAAGTGGGCGAAGCCCACTTGGCCCAAACCGTTAACCCGCCTGAGCCACTCGGGGCACTTGTAACCGTTTTATGAGCCAGGCTGGGCCAGATATCACCCACCTTGGCATCCACTTGTAACCCCTCTACCCATTTAGAAACCCCCGCGGTCATCCCAGTGCCATCCCAGGTCCACCGCGGCGAGCATGCGGCGGCCCCTGCGGCCGGCGGCGATCGTGCGGTGCAGACCGCCGCGGGCTCTGCCGGGGACTTCTGCGCCGCCTCGTCGTTCGCGATGACCATCTCGGGGGCAACTTCAGGGGAGGAGGAGCTCAAGTCGGACCCGTACCCGTCCCTCTACAGGAGGAATGTTCAAAAATAGTCAAACGATAGCCTGGGGCCTGGGGACGAGTTTTTCTACCATCATTGAAAATGTTTGAGCATTTCTTGATTAATTCTTGTTTTTCGTGCAAAATCGGCCTGTAGACCCAAGGATAGGCTCGGGGTTGGCGCGCATCGACCCCCAATCGCCCACTCATCGCCGACAGGGGCCAGATAGCCCACCTTGCACAGGAAGGTCCGGCGCCGCCATCAGGGACGCATCGCCGACCTATCGACGATGTAGCGCCGATTCCAGGTCGAGGGGCCCCCCCCTCTGAGCCGGTCCTCCCTATCGTTGCCCCTCGCCATCAACGAGAACACCGCAACTTACCGATTGCCGGCCGGTAGCTCCCACACCGCCCAGTGCCGCTTCGGTCCTCTGGACGCTGGCACCATCACCTTCCTGTGCAGCGGCGGTACGTGGACATTTGGCAGCGAAGACTGCGAGTCTTCCCTGGGTGGGTGCACGGCCACACAGTTCACAGTTAACCTTAACGGGCAATCGCACGTGTATTCTGTCCCAGAGGCCCAGGCAGGAGGCATATTTACCGACCAGTGCCAGTTCGGCGATTGGAACAGCGGCACGGTAACGTTCCACTGCCAAAGCGGCAAGTGGGAGTTCGGCAGCCACGCGTGCAGCAGCGATGTGGGCAATTGCCTCCCGACAAATTTTGCCGTGCACATTGGACAGCACAGCAACCAGTTCAACCTCCCCTCTGGGAGTAGAGGGGAGACCTTATCTGAGGCTTGCGACTTTGGGGTGCTCCAGTCCGGCGACGTGGTTTTTGTGTGCCAGGGCGGAGAATGGGAGATGCAGAGTAATAATTGTGTTGCTGGGCCTGACTTCTGCCCATCTGGGAGCTTTAAAGTCAAGCTTGGCGCCTTCACCAAAATGTACCAGCTACCAGATGGTCAGGCTGGTGAAAAGCACGCTGAACAGTGCGATTTCGGCCCCCATACGTCTGGGGATGTCACCTTCGTGTGCGAGAACGGAAGGTGGTGGCTCGGCGGCACTGACTGTTCCGACCCGTCCGTTTAATGAGGCCCTCCCCACGCGCGCAGCCGAGGGCGGGAGGTGGAGGTGGTGGGATATGGAGAACCGGGCGCAGGAGGAGGAGGTCGGAGGAGGGGGGGGAGGAGGAGGAGGAGCAGAGAGCGCCACACCATGCCAATCCCAAATCACATGGACGATGGCAGAAAGATCGGCACCTCTCCATCATCTTCGGCGCCGTAGTCGGCAGTTTGGGGTGAACGTGGCAGTTGCGGCCAGATCTGGGGCCATGGAGGGGCCAGCAAAGCTCGTGCTCCCCACTCCGAGCACCACCAGCGTCGAACATTTACGTCATCGTTGTGGCGCTCATGGTGGGCGTCCGCGCTGCTGCGCGCACGCGCACTGTCGACAGCCAGTTCAGTCACACACTCTCTTGGAACGGTGATGCTCAACCGCGAACTAGAAATTTTAGACGATTCGCGTATCCCCACCAGCGTCCGTAGCCCTCTGGCTCAAGCCGTCTGCGGGCCTGGCTCCCTCGGGCCAATCTCCCGCGCTCAAGGGGGCGCCTGGACGCTGCACCGCGCCCCCCGCACCGGGCCCTGCCGCTCCGCCAGCACGCGCCCGCGATACCAGCTCGCTCGGTGTGCTGCTGAGGCCCGCGGTTCAGACCCATGGAGGATCAGCCTGACGAAGGGGATGGAGACAGGGATCACTCAGTGCAGGGCGCGGGAGCCCAGTCACTGTATTCGATCGGCCCCCAGACCACCCACAGGCAACGGCCCCTCCCCGCAGACGCGGCAGACACAGTGCCGACGCCAGCTGCGTCCACATTAGTCCTCTGCCCCGCGGAGGGAGACAACCAGACAGAGGGGAGAGGAGCTCACCCTGACGCTGCCCTGGACCCCGTTCTGATCCCAGTTCCGTCCACGCCTCCCCCCTCCCCGCGCAGGGAGGCAGACCGTGTTCGCGAAGCCCCATCAACAGTTTCCATTCAGCCCCCCGAGGCCGAGAATGAGGCTCGCGTAAGGAACCGAGAGACGGCAGTGGATGATGCATCTGGAGAAAGACGATCAGAATCCACAGAAGTCGGCAGCTCGGGCCTCCCGCCAGGAGGACAGGCGAGCAGGCCCCCCCCCGCGGCGACTGAGGAACCTCCTCAGGGAACGCTAGAGGGAGAACAGAGAGAGGATCCAGAGCAGGCAGCACTGCTCCATAGGGCCGCCTCTCCCCCTCCTCTTCCAATTCACCAGTTACTGCGGCTCTTGGCTGCGCCCCCCATCTTCCTCCTCCTCCTCCTCCTCTAGTGCAGGATCCGAGTCCAGCGGCTCTTGGCCGCGCCCCCAATTCTAATCAACATTCACCAGTGACTGCGGCTTTTGGCTGCGCCCCCATGCAGAGTGTGACGCCGAGGAGCGACGCTGGCAACGATAGACTACCAGAAGGCTCCCCGCAGGATCGGGCCCCGCCAGCGCCCACGGCGGGCGCGCGGGACGCCCACGAGGACATAGAGGACACCCTGCCCAGAAACCCGCTGAATCTGTCCAGCAACGGCGGGGAAGATCCCCAACCTGATCCTCCCCTTTCCCCCCCGCAAGTCCCCTCCTCAGCCTTCCCGACTCCCCTGCCCCCGACGGGCCTGGGCGAAGACGTTGAGATTTCCCCCGCGCTGCCTTTCCATCCGGTCGGGTTCGACGCGGACAACGGACAGCAGCATTGGGACGAGGTCGACTGGGAGTGGCTTCTGCGAGATCGCGAACCCGGCGGTAGCACCCCCGACAGCGAAGCGCTTCACGAGTGGGAGGACCCCGACGAGATCGACAGCAGATCAGCCGCTCGCGGTCGCGGTCGCCTGATCACGCCTCCCCCTGGCCTCCCCCCGACCCCGCCACCTGGCTCAAGGTCGCTCAATACGGGGGGACGCGTGGCTGGGCCTGGGCACGGAGTTGACCCAGCTAGCCGCAGGCCCCCCGCCCCCACAACCCAGGCGTTGCGGCTCCCGCGATGCCGACGCCCCTTCACTTGGCCCCGAGAGTCGTCGACCCAAGGGGCACCATGAGAGGCGGCACGCTAGCGGCACTCATGGAGTACCATGAACCAAGGGAGGACCCGTGGAGAGAGATCCCCAGGCGCTCGCCCCGTAACCAAGCAAGGAACAGTGGTCTTGAGAACTTGGTAGCTTCTGCTGCCTCCGCCACCCCCCCTGGCACGCAGCCGTCAGCGGGGGGGCCCATCCACAGCAGGGGGCGTCCAATGCCCACTCAGGGTAGGCCCCAGCCACGTGGTGCAAACGGAGCAGGAGTCCCCACAGCGGAGTTGCAACCGCGCCTCGGCAATGGCAGAGCTCGACCTCTCCTGGCTGGCATGGCCCATCACAGTGTCCGACCATGAGGCCAGGCTCGGAGGAGTAGGTCCGGACCCAGTCCAGGTACTAGCATTCCGCTACGCAAGCCTGACACTGGACCCTGACATTGAAGCGGAAAGCCTGGACTGCGACGAACCAACACAGGAGGAAATCATTGCGTCTGAGAGTGAATACGAGGTATTGCACCATGCCGCCCTCTACGCAGATATCGGGGTGGGGGACCCGTCGGAGGGCCTCTTTCCGCCGCCCCTCCTTGGACTCTCGAGGTGGCGCCACGATGCTGCCCCTGACGCAACTGACACGAACCTAGCCGGTTCTGACTCAGACCACAAAGCCAGACTGTGCCGCTACCTGATCCACGAGCACCGTCGCAACCTGCTGCACCTCCCGGATCACAATGAAGTCAGGCACTGGGCAGCCAGCAGGGGGCACTGGGCCGACGCTGGGGCGGACGTCCTCTCCTCCGTGCAGCACGGCACGGGGCAGGGTGGCTGGGCCGCCCCTGCCATCCCCGACGCAGGGCCCCACACCCCAGACATCGCAGGGCCCATCCTCGAGGGCAGCGACACGCCCGAAGGGCCCTGGCCCATAAACAGCGCATCCTACATGATAAGGTTCGGGGACTTCTTCCGCCCTGGCAACAGATGCGACTGCTGCGGCTGCTGGCTTGCACGGGACCAGCGCGGCCCCATGCGCATCGCCTGTCGCAGGCTACCCACCCCATGGGTGACAGCCACGGACGGACTCCACCCCGACAGCCTCGAAGCCCCAGGGCATCCTCTAGACTTACAAGGTACCCAACTCTCGCAGCATGGCGCCACATGACGGATATGGCGCTTGACGACGGAAGAACCGCAGACAGAGGCGGGTACCCGATTGCAGCGAGGGATGACGCAAGAGTGGGAGATGAACCGATACTAAGAGCTGCCGTGGGCGCCCTCGCCAGACTCTGCGGCGTCTCGCTGGGATGGGCCATGGAGACTGCGCCACGTATACAAGACCGCATCAGGGGAAACCTCTTCGGCAGATCGTTATGCGACTGGGTGCCCGAATGCCGTGCCCAAACCCCCAGCGTGGCCCTGCCGGCCCAACTCCCTGACCCTGCGGACGCCAGGCCCAGGGCTCAGGACTTGAGGGCACGATACCAGCAATGCCTCGACAGCCCCCCCATGGGGGACACTGTATGGCTCCGCAGAGAAATCTGAGGCAGCTTCCTGGATCAAGCCCTCCTCGTCACCCCGCGGACAGGGCCTCCATCGAGATTTCGGGCGCAAGCGCCGAGGCGACAGAAGTGGCCTGCGCGGCCCTAATCGCCGCTGCCAGAAGGGAGGGGAGATTCATTGCTCACCGCCTAGCGCCAGGCAGCCCCTGCGGTGAAGCGGTGCGTCTCGCGATCGCACTGCGCACAAGGGCACGAGGGGTGGGCTCTCCCGTGGTTCGCGAGATCAACCAGCAGGCGATGAAGAGAGAGGGGAACGAGACCCGAACAAGCGATGGGCATCGACAGAGTAGACGCACACAGTTCCCCCCAGAGAGGGGGGACAGCGCACGACGACTGCTACAGGAGATCCTCGAGATCCTCGCCCAGGTAGCAAATGACAGCATCCCTAACAACATGACCTGGAGCAGGCTCCTGGCCCCGTTTATCTGGGACTCAAGCACAGAAAGTGGGTCGAGCCACACTCGAGCACGTCTTCGAGGCTACTGGGGCCCCTCGTTCCCGAGTGACGCACGCAGCCATGCGATGGCATTACATGGGCAGCACCTCGCTAGAAGGAGCGCACCACCGCCTCGGGCTAACAGCGGCTACCCTACCCCGCCAGACAGGAAGAGTGATCGAGGCCCCCCTCCCAGGGGGATACATCCACCTAGAGCTCCAGGAACGCAACGTGAGCTGGCTTGACCCACTCGGACAACTCCAGGAGGCAATCCTAACAGCAGACAGGGACGCAGTGGAGCGCGGGATGCAGGCACGAAGTGCCAGGGCGCACGCCAGGAGTGGCAACGGGGGGGCCGGGAAAACAGGGGGGCGCCATTCCCCCTCCCCCCCAGGAGGAAGGGCACAGAGCACCACGACGCCCTGGCACGAAGACATCAGACAGATCCTCGGCGACGAAGCAAGCAGCAGCCCCAGATCCCCCCCGCAGGCACTCAGCAGAGGAGATACGCTGGATGCCCTCATCCGAGCCCTAGACGCCACGCAAAGAGACGACGAAGCCGCAGGCAGATCCAGGCAACAGTGCATAGACCGTACCTCTTTCAGCGGCACAGAAGCACAGTTGGTGGCAGAAGGACTGCTCAGAGAAGCCAGGGCCCAACTTGAGCCAGGGAGCTGGGTGTCATGGGCCATGTGGCTGTGTCTGGCGCCGCACTACACCCCCCTCCTACGACCAGTGCTCCAGGCGCGCGGTATGGACATCAGACCGTTCGAGGTCCTCACCAGATGGCTGCAGATAGCAGGCATACACACCCCCGACGACATCAGAGACATATTGAGTGAGGGGGGGAGCAGACCCCAGGTGCCTACTCCCCGTTCGGGAACGGACAGATTCGCCTCCCCCTCCGCACCACAGGACTCAAGGCATGTCTAACCGAGGGAGAGGCGGCCTCGACCACGCGTCTCCTCATAGAGAGCTTAGGCACATCCATCGCCAACGCCATCGACCCACCTGGAGACGCCGAG